GATTTCGAACATCTATTCTAACTTTTTCATTCATTTCTCTATTTCTGATTTTGTTTCAGGAGATATCTTAAATTTCAGTTTTAGCAAAATCTCCTGTTTTTCTCAATTTTGTTGTACTATTTCAGAATTTTAATTCTCACTTCTACTATTTTTAGATTTTAGTTTTTCTATAGTTGTTGCATTATATAGGTATTTCTGTTACTTCTAGTCAATTTTTTGTCTCAGAAGATATTTCCCAATTTCTTCAATCTGCTACATTTACTCAGTTTTTAGTAGATTTTAGTGTAAATTTTCTGTTTTAGCAGTTTCTGCTACACTTTCCAAACTTTTTGTATAATTTTAAATATTCTTTACAGAATCTCTAATTTAAATACTCACTTTAAAAAATCGAATTTTCATCCCAAAAATCTGCTTAAACTCTCAAAAAAGGCAAATACGTCATTATTTTCAGCCTAATTCTGTGATTTTTCGGTTTGTTTTTGATAAAATTTTGCAAAATAATTGCGTTTTGAAACGCTTGAGAAATGCAAAAATTATATAATTTTTATCTTAATTTCTTAATTTTTTAGTTTGTTTTTGCGAAATCTCATGAAAAAGCTACTATTTTAGTTAAAAGCGTGATTAAAACATTTTTGACCAAATTTTGTCTTAATTTTAAAATGAAAGTACATTTTTATCACTCTTTGTTCATAGAATTTTTTTGCTATTTATACATTTCGGGTTTTGTTTTCCCTTTTACTATTCTTAGATTTTTAGCACAAAAATCTACATAAACTTTTAAAAAAGCCAAATACGTCATTATTTTTAGTCTAATTCTATGATTTTTATGTTTATTTTTGACAAAATTTTGCAATATAATTGCATTTCTATCTGAAAAACGTGCTAAACGCTTGAGAAATGCAAAAATTTTATAATTTTTCACTTAATTTGTTGTTGTTTTGTTTTGCTTTAGCAAAATCTCTCAAAAAACGTAACATTTTAGCTCGGGTATATAAAACTAATCTAATTTTCGTTTTAATTTGTTGATTTTTTGGTCAATTTTTTTTAAATCTCACAAAAATGTGCTTGAAAGCATTTTCTATCAAATTTTGTGGTTTCTTGACTTATTTTTGTTTTAATTTGTCTCAAAAACCAGTTAAATCAAGAGAATATCAATTTATTTATTGTGATTTTTAGACGTGTTTGGACACGAGCAAATCAAGAAAAAAAGACACTAATTGCAATAATTTTTTTAAACAAAATTCTTGGATATATTAAAAAACGTGCTTAAATAATTGAAAAAAGTAAAAGTAACACCATTTTTGCTCAATTTTGTTGAATTTTTGGCTTGTTTTTAACGAAATTTTCTGAAATAATTGTGTTTCTATCTGAAAGAAGTAATAATTAAAACATTAAAAAAATGGATTTGTCATTTTGACCTTGTTTAGTAAATAAACCAAGTTGGTGGTTTTTCGATTTATTTTTTTTTGAAAAAATATATAATGTTGAAAATACTCGAAAAAGACGCATAAATTGAGAGTTTCATTTCCAGGAAGCTGGTCAAAAAAGCAAAAAAAGTGTTTTTGTTCTTAAATTTCTTCAAACTTTCTCCAACTAATTGAATTAGTGACATTTTATTAGTGTTTCGTTCCACGTGATCGCGGCGCAAGAATTCCTAATTGCAGCGAATTTTCGACTAATTAGAAATTGGCCGCGATCGCGTTTTTCCTCTCCTTGTCTATTAATAGCGAAATTTTTGCGATTCTGACACAAAAATAGGCGCCAAGAAGGGGCGTTCCGCCATGCAAGTGCCAATAAAATTACAAAATTATCTTCGAATACGTCAAGGGGTGGCGGCGATTTGCGAATTTTAAACGATCTCGGATCAAATTCACAACATACCAAAATATTTTTTTAACGAATTATCACTCTCTAAAATTAAATTACGCAGCCGCCGGCCAATAACAAAATAAATACGGTAAAACGATGACAAACTTTGATGGAATTTCAATCTGACCCGAGATGACTGAATTTCCCAATTATTCGGACAAGAATTTTTTATTTCACTTTTAAACAAATAATCAAAAATCAGCTCACTTTTAAAAATTTAAATAAGAAAAACTCAGCAATAATAGCACTAATAGCATTAGGGACACTAGTGTACGAGGAGTACACTTTATTAGAATTAAATAAGTTTATAACAAAATTTTCCAAAATTTGTAAAAGTAAAAAATGGAAATAAAATTGAAGAAAAAAATATTTATTTTGCAAAAATCCTTTAGTAGCAAAAACATTACGAAAAATTTTAGCAGAAAACTAATAGTAAAAGAGAAAATAACACCCGAAGAAGGTTAGAAAATCTAAGAATGATAAAAATGTAGTCAAAATTAAACCGATAAATTACAAAATTTGGTCAAAAATGTTTTAAACACATTTTTTATTAAAATCTTTGCTTTTTCGTGAGATTTCGCGAAAACAAACAAAAAATTAGGACGAAAATTAGATTCGTTTTTTATTTCCGAGTTGAAATGTCAAGTTTTTTGCAAAATTTCGCTAGAGCGAAACAAAACAACAACAAATTAAGTAGAAAATTATACAATTTTTGCATTTCTCAAGCATTTTAGCACGTTTTTCAGGTAGAAACGCAATTATTTTGCAAAATTTTGTCAAAAACAAACCGAAAAATCACAGAATTATTCTGAATATAATGACGTTTTTGCCTTTTTTGAGAGTTCAACCCGATTTTTGAGCTAAAAACTCGTTTTTTTTTAGAGATTTTATTTAAAGTAAGTACAACTGAAAGTGGTGATACTTTGAAGAATATTAAAAATTGTACACAAAGTGTGAAATGTGTAGCAGAATCTGCTAAAACAGAAAATTTGCACCAAAATCTACTAAAAACTAAAGAAATGTAGCAGTTGAGGAAATTTGGAAATATCTTCTGAGACAAAAAATTATATAGAAGTAACAGAAACACATAATACAAAAACTATAGAAAAATTTGTGAAATATTTCAATTGAAATGTCGAGAAAAATGTTATTTTTACAATTGCAAAATTAATACAAAAAATCTGAGATAGCAGAATATCTAGTAAAGTTTTAGCAAAAATCTAAGAATAGTAGAAGTGAGAAATAAAATTCAGAAACAGTAGAATAAAACTGAAAAGAACAGCAGATTTTGCTAAAACTGAAAATTGAGACATCTTCTGAAACAGAAACAGAAATAGAGAAATGAGTTAAAAGGTTAGAATTGATGTTAGAAATCTAAAAAGTTATTAGAACTTGCGATACTTAAAGTGGTAATACAAAAACGACCAAATTGCTGAAATAATTTTGCTATGCTAGAAAAATTGTACAATAAATTTTGAAAGTGAAGCACAATCTACTGAAACAGAAAATTGCGATATATTTTGAAAAACAAAAATTTTGAGGAAATGTATCAGACTGAAGAAATCTAAAAAGTTGTCAATTTTTTTCAATACTTGAAATAGTATCAGTTGCTGAAAGTTTGAGAAGGCGAGAAGAAAAAAGAAACAATATACTAGAAATCTAAGAGTGGTAAAAATGTAATGCTATTCTAAAAATATGTAATGATAATAAAAAATCTGCTAAAACTGAAAAGTTGTAAAATATCTTCTGAGGCAGAAACAAAGTAGAAAATTGAAATTAAAGATAAAATTTTGCAAAAAATATAAAAATTCGTAAAATATTACTATTAGTAGCAAAAATAATGCAAAACTTCTGAGGTACATATCAGAAAAGAAAAACAAAAATCTAAGAATATCATAAATTCTTAAAACAGTTATTCTCGAAAAGAATATCTTAAAACAGAATTTAGAAACAGTACAAGAAATCTGACAAAAATAGCAGATTGTGCTGCGATATCTTCGGAAACTGAAACAAAAAAAATAATGAAAGAAAATTGTCATAAAGTAATGAAAGCAATATAAAAAAATTATCAGAAATAGTGGCACAAAAAAGGAAGTAAAAACAGAACCAGAAATCTAAAAATAGAAAAATTCTATGAAGAAAACTAAAAAGACTATACAATCTAACAATATCTGCTAAAACTGCGATATCTTCTAAAATATTGATAAAAAGAAAACTGAAAAGTCCTTTAGATTTTTAAGAGATTTTAAAATTGCTAATATAAGTTAACATGAAAAAATATAAATGAATAAAAAACAAGTTAACACAACAAAAAAATTGCTAGAAATAGTGAAATAATGACAAAAAGAAAATTGGAAAGTTGTTGAAGTTTCTCTCGATTCTTAAGAAATTTTCGAGTTGCTAAAGTTTATGAAAAAAAATAAATAAAAAAAAGAAAAAGAAAAAAAGAAACAATATACTAGAAATCTAAGAGTGGTAAAAATGTGATGTTATTCTAAAAATAACTGAAAAACTTATGTTAGAATAATAACAAAATCTGCTAAGACTGAAAAATTGTAAAATATCTTTTAAAACAGCAAAAAAGAGTAGAAAATTCAAATAAAAGATCAAAAACATTGCAAACAATCTAAAAATATATAAAAAATTTCAATAAAAATATAAATAAGAAATATTACCATTAGTAGCAAAAATAATACTAAAAAGGAAAAGTCGAAACCTAAAAATATTCTAAATTCTTAAAACAGTTATTCTCAAAAAGCATATCTGTAAAACGGAATTTAAAAACAATAAAAAATTCTGCTGCGATATCTTCTGAAACAGAAACAAAAAACGATAATCGAAAAAAAAGTGATGAAAGTAATCAAAACACTAAGAGAAAACTGAACCAGAAGTCCAACAATAGCAAAAATATTCTATGAATAAAGCTACAAAAACCGTACATAAAATCTAGAAAGTATAAGAGAATCGGCTAAAACGTCTTCTCAAATATTGACAGAAAGATAATTGAAAAATTGAAAAAATTCCTTTCTGAAACAGTAGCAACATATTCAACCTTGTAATTTAAAATAGTGACACGAAAAATAAAAAAAATAATAAAAAACATATTTTTTTAAAAAGATATTCTTTTCCAGATAGCCCCCTTGTATGGTGTCTAGCATGTAAGTGTTGGCCGACGAGGGCCTGGGCCCAGCCCGTGTCCAGAGAAGCGTCCATCGCAATGAATGCTGCACTCATCGGAAAATTTCAGTTGCTACTCATATTCCATCTTTTCTTAAAATTCCACTTCACTATCGGTAAGTATTAAAAAATCACACGACTTTCCTTATCCAACTTATTTGGGAAACATTTTTTTAGTTCGGTACCCATTATTATTTTCATT